TGTTTTCTTAGCTCCTCTGTTTTGGGCCATTAGAGGGCTATTCAGTGTATAAGACACACCCAGATTTTCAGCCTCTTTTTTGAGGGGAAAAGGTGCGTCTTATACTCCCCAAAATATGGTACTTTCTTTGAATTTCAAATTAGGCGTTTGTTCAGAGAAGTTCTTTTTTTTCAGAGGTGGGGTTCAGAGGTTCAGACCAGGGGTGGGTTGCTGATGGTTTTTCAGAGGTGCATGCCAAATTAATGTTTCTTATTATAAAACAGCCGAGTCTTAACCGTATTCTGCCCCCCAACTGTATTTCCATTGATGTCCACAATGTGAAATGTATCCTTTAAAAATAGCTGTTCATTAAATAGAATGTCCAAAGAACAAGTTTTCCATAAGACCTTTAATAAATAAGGTTCCCACTGAAGGGAACAATGGATAAGTTATCTTGAGTTTCTTGAATGAATGAATGAATGAATGAATGAATGAATGAATGAATGAATGAATATCAAATTTCAGATCTGAGAAAATACACTCTTAATACTTATTAATAGCTACTGCAGAAATGCAAGGATGTTCCTCGTAATGTACATTTGTTATTTTATACTATTTCTGTATACACAAATCCTAAGGGTAACTTGCAACATAAAATCAAACCTGTAAAACATATGGCTGTGGAAAACACAACCAACTGTAAAATACAATAGCAGCAGCTCACAGTAAATTAGGATTCAGAAATCTGGCAAAAGAAGATGATTTTAAGCTTCCTTCTTGACTCTCAACGGGGATAAAATTAGAATTAAGGCAAGGATAGAAAGGTGAAGTGAATGTTTGCTAGTATTCCCACCTGAGGAGGCATAAATGCGAGGACTTATTGAGAGTGAGTTTGGAATAATAAAAAAGAAAAGTGAATTGCTGTTATGCAGATGTGAAAGGAGGCCATTTCACGATGGGAGAACAGGCACCATAAACTGGAGCCTGTGAAATGGGACTCTGCTAATCCACAAACAGCAAAGAACAAAGAGGATTTGGGGGGAGAAGAGTATCGGAGGCTGCTGATGAATTTACATGAAATTACATTTACAGACATCCAGATAAGTTGGGGGCTGCTAATATTTCTTTGAAAGAGATACTTACTCTTGACCTGTTCTTCAAACCTAGTCTATTTCCCTGTAATATTGTGGTTGTGGGTATCTTACAGGGAGGGAGTATACAATAGCCCAGTTCACCCTGGCCCATTTCTCACCTCAGTTACAGATTCTTAATTGTTTGTCTCAGATATTGTGGATCCGTATAATGATGGAAGAGAAGACGGTAAGGCTAGTCAAATTATTTGTTAACCATGAGAAATAGCAATAGCGCTTAGACTTATATATCACTTCGTAGCGCTTTACAGCCTTCTCTAGGTGGTTTACAGAATCAGCATATTGCCCCCAAGAATCTGGGTTCTCATTTCGCCCCCCTCGGAAGGATGGAGGGATGGTCAACCTTGAGCCGGTGAGAATTGAACNTGTGTGTGTGTGTGTGTGTGTGTGTGTGTGTGTGTGTGAAAGAGAGAGGGAGGGAGGGAGGGAGGGAGACAGACACTTACCATGGAAGCCAATGTACCCTTTCAATTCCATTGATTGAAGCCTCCCACTTAGAAATGCGTGGCGCATTCACACAACTCCGCCATTCCCAGCTTTCTCAGGTAAGCCAAAGGAGACCGTACTCAAGGCTACCAAAAGCCCTCAAGGGGCATAAGAAAACCCAGGGGCTACTGGGTCATAGCTATCATAATCAAAAGCAGTAACATCTGTTTGTTTTGGCATGCTATAAAGTCCTGAACCTTCACAGAATTGCTGGAAAGCCCCGAGCAGACGTTCCTCAAGGTTGATAGCTGAGGGGATCCCAATTATTTCCAAGAAATAGTAATTCCCAAAGCAGGAGGGAGTGGTAGGAAGGTTTTGGGGGGGAGGATATTTGGTCAGCCTGACCCGATAGATAGAAATGCAAGGAGGAGCATAATGCCCTTCCTTCCTAAAGGGCCCAATTGGAAGAAGATGCACCTTGTACTCCCAGGTCCAAAGAGAAGGGAATGGAAAAAATAGACAGGGTGATGGTACAAGGCTGAAGCTTGGGAAGATGGGAAATAGTAAGACTCTAGCCAGTTAGAATTGTTTTGTAAACATGTAAGACTTCAAGTTTCAAAGTCAGGGGAAATGAATGGTTAAATTTCTACTGATTTGAAGAGATGGGAGGAAAGAGCCCAGGGTTTAATCTTTGGGATGGATGGAAGGATGGATGGATAGTTATCATTAGTGCTCCTTAAAATTTACATCCTGTGTAATATTGTAAAGACGTGTCCTGCTGTTTCTATCTCCTCCTCAGACGCCTGAGTCCAGCATCGTCTCCAGCTGACTCAGGAAAGACCAGAAAAGGGAGTCCGGGGAAAACTAAGGGAGAGGATTCAGGGAAAAAATCTAAAACGTCAACTCAAGGCAGGTCTTATATTTCAAAGCATATTTGGGGCACTTAAATAAAAATGTTTTTTTTTAATTTGCATGTTATTTGCAGTTTGCACCTGACTTGATTCTTTTGGAACCATTTTGCTTTAAAAGAGCCTCCAGGGGTTCCACCATCCTTACCCTCCTGTTGTACTCATCTGCCTGACAAGAAAAGAGATTAGAAACATTAGTCTTACTTTTTCTCCTAGCCAAATTTCTGATTCATGGAGATTAACTATCCCACAAGGGTGTTTGAATCCCAGTTTTCCGATAAATTACAAATTTGAGCAAAACAAAACCTTGTAAGGTTGCCTTAATTTAAGGTTGCGGCTCCTAATGACGTCTACTAATGTCAAGACAGAAGAGACTGGAGGTCGAGTTATACATTCAAATCTGAGAATGCATATTAAAATAAAACAAAACACGGTTTGCTTCAATTCAAAAAAAAAAGTACATGTAAATATTTGGGGGATTTTGTGGTAGNGCTGAAGTGGCCTGCAGTGCTGCACCCTAACCACTTCCTTTCATGTCCCACTGATTGACAATCATCTCAGCATGATTTTTTTCCAGTAATGTTGTCCCATTGGTACCCAGCCCCATCATGTTTGCTTGTATAACCAGCCGATAAAGTTAATTCAAACTCTGAACAATAATTTTGCCTGGGCGAATTATTTTCTCCTCCCTTCTCCTTTGCCTCCCCTGTTAATTTCTGAACTAGGGAAATAATTTTCATGGCGGCCCAAAAAATCCTTTGATTTATTCCCACCTTCATTTTAATCATAGACCTAGTAGCTTAAAGCCTGAGTTTAAAGGATTAATTTGGAGGAGAAGGCATCCATTAAAGGTGCGTATTGGATAAATCCAACATGCATTTTGTGCGTGTTCAAAATTGAGAAAGTGACAGAAGCTTCAGGATGAGGAAGCCGGCAGAGTGGACTGAGGCAGGGGGGGACTTCAGAGTTGTTAAGAGGTCAGATACGCACCTTTTGTTGGAAGGATGAAGAGCTTTATTAAACTGAGATTTTACTGGATTTTAAATAATTTCAATTCCTTGTATCTCTATTGTTTTACATTTAGAAGAACTGAGAGTGCAATACTTCACTATCCTTCATCAATGGCTATCTAGAAATATAGCTGTTGTATAATCATAACGAAACATACTTTTATTATTCATCTCTATTACTCATTCATTTCTACATTTATATGCTACATAAATGGGGACATGAAAAAGAAAAATGCAATTTTTAAAAAAAGATGTTTGAATGCATTTCACTGCTTTGAATTTTTATTAACTGCAGTGCAGGCTAAAATAGTCCGGAGCCCTGTGAATCCTGAAACATTCTTAAATATTTTGGAAAAAACTGAGACTTATAGAGAGGAGATGATGGATAGTCTTTTGAGAGAAATAGAAGAAAATGAGTTTCAAAGAAAGCAAGTATCATCTGCCAAACTGGAAACTGTAAGGATTTTTTTAATGGGATAAATAGATATTTTGGTAATTTAAATGGTGGATTCATGTTGGCTTTTTTAAACAAATAATATAACATGTTTGTGAAATAATCGTTCATTTTACTTTCTTTGATAAAATAATGTACACTTTATTGCTTTTACAGTGTATGTTTTTGTCCCCAGTGGGGATGTGAATAAAGTGGGGGATGGATTGCTGTGACTTAACTGCATTCTGGTGGGATAAGACAAAAGACATGCTTGAATGTTCAGGCCACAAAAACAAAAGACATTCAGAAGAAGCACCTGGTTCCCCTGTTTTTTTCACCCAGAGCCAAAAGGTTGGGTAGTTTAATCTGTTATGATTCCTACCTGTCTGCCAACCTATAGAGGAAGCCACTAGACTTCTGATTTTTGAAATATTTATTTAAAAGATCACTAACGAATAACTAATTGAAGAAGGAAAAAACCTTACAATCTATTATCAGAAATATCTATTCCACACCGATTTCCTCGAGAGGGGTCTTTTTTTTTTCTTTGAAGGAACCTTAATGCACTCAACCAACATGTTAATTGGACATTTTCAGGCATAAATATCAGCCTGCAGGTGCAATTCTATATTAAAAATAATCCCTGTTGCCATTTTTTTCTTTCCAAGTTGAATGGAAGAATTCTTTTGGTTGCATAAGTGTAGAGTATAGAAGCTATCAGTATAGGGGTGACAAATTCAAGGCCTGTGGGCTGGATCAGGTCCGCGGAGTGTTTAGATCTGGCCCGCGGGGCAGCCTTGGAAACGGTGAAGGAGCAGCCCGCAGTGCCTCTGCCGGAGAAAATGGAGCTGGCAGACGGTTTCAGGAAGCTGTTGCAGCTGAAAACAGAGCCTCTCTCCCTCTCCTTGATCAAGAATCCTTATCTCAAAATGGCCTTCCAGATCCTCCACTAATTTTTATACAGAGGACTATATGTGGGTGATAGACAGGGTGTAATTATTAATCAGACCTATATCGTTTCCAGCAACACCAGCTGTAGTCCCAGATGATGAATTTGTTGTAGCATCAATGTTTTCCGTATCCGCTAGCAGAGTCCGATCTAGAATGGCTGTCCTCTCTTAAGTTACGCTTATTTTTACCCAGCACCTCCATCTAATCTAACTCAAAAACAACTGGAACGTGAGAGTTCCACTTTCTATAGCGATGGGGTTTTTAAATTTTCATCTCTTCAATCTTAATTAAACACAGGATAGAGGTCCAGTTACATTTATTCTTTTAAAATATGTTAATATTATGCCCTAGAATATAGAAGATGGAGATGAACCAGATTTAGATTCTATGTTTCAAATGATATTGTCAGATATGGAAGAATATTTGAAGCCTGTACTGTCACAACTTAATCTCTCTGAATTGAGGTACATGTTTGCATATTTATTTACATACCCAAACACAGTGAAATTCATATAGAGCACTTTGCTGTAATCTGCTCTTGAGGTGCAGTGGCAAGAATTACCTGCCCCAGGAATTTTATATACATATTTAAAAGTGTGTGTGTGTGTGTGTGTGTGTGTGTGTGTGTGTGTGTGTGTGTGTGTGTGT